CAACGTGCAGAAGTGGATCCTATGGACGGAGCATCAGTACCGACTGCACCAAAAACATTTGGATGTGCCCTGAAACAGAATGTCCTAAATGCTCCGAAACCATCCTGATACCCTAAGGCTGCCCCAAAAGTGCCCAACCTACCCCCAAACCTCCTGCAAGGCTCCTTAAATGCCCCCCAAAACCCCTCAAAATGAGGAGAAAAGGACTCGCTCATCCTCCCCAGTCTTGGCCCCATGGAGGTGGACAACCTCAGGGTACCCCCGGCCCTATGGGGTGACGCTGCTCTCACTGCCTCCAACCCCAGACCCCGCAGACTGGAGCCCTGGCAACGTGCAGAAGTGGATCCTATGGACGGAGCATCAGTACCGACTGCCGCAGCTCGGGAAGTCCTTCCAGGAGCTGTCAGGGAAGGAGCTGTGCGCCATGTCGGAGGAGCAGTTCTGCCAACGCTCGCCCGTCTGCGGCGATGTCCTGCATGCACACCTCGACATCTGGAAGTCGGGTACGTGCAGGGCTGGGGGGAGCGTGGAGCTGCAGGTTGGGCTCCCTCTGACCGCCCGCTCCCCAATTTCCAGCTGCGTGGATGAAGGAAAAAGCTGCCCCGGGGGATGTGAGATACTGTGGTGAGTTCTGCGTGGCTTTGCTGGGGTTCTGACCTTCGTTTCAGCCCCAGATGCAAGCATGGGGTATGGGGGGGCTTCATGCATCCCTATGGGGCAGCTGAGGGTTGGACCCCGCTGTTCTCCCTGCTGCCTCCTGCCCCAACCCCAGGGCTCATCAACCACCCCACACCTCCCTGTGCAGGGGGTGACAGCGGATGGGCGGACGGCGAGGTGGACTCATCCTGTGCCGGGCAGCCCATCCACCTCTGGCAGTTCCTGAAGGAGCTGCTGCTGAAACCCCACAACTACGGACGCTTCATCCGTTGGCTCAACAAGGAGAAAGGTGGGCGGGCACTCCTGGGGTCAGGGGAAGGGTCCGTAGGGGGGTCACCCCAAACTTCCCATCCCCGCTCCCCCCACGTAGGGATCTTCAAGATCGAGGACTCGGCGCAGGTGGCGCGACTGTGGGGCATCCGGAAGAACCGCCCAGCCATGAACTACGACAAACTGAGCCGCTCCATCCGGCAGTACTACAAGAAGGGCATCATCCGCAAACCCGACATCTCGCAGCGCCTCGTCTACCAGTTTGTGCACCCGCTCTGAGGGACTGAGCCTCGGGGGCGTGGGGGACTCTCACTGCCCTCCACGACCTCATCATCGTCTTCCAGCGCTTTAGGACCGTGGTTGGGGTCATCCCTGTGGACCGTAGGGACCCTTCTGTCCCCAGAGCCCGTACTTGGAGTGGGGATGAGCTCAGAGAGCATGGCTTTGTGCCCAGCTCCAGGGCCAGGACAATGCATGGTGTGGATTTAGGGGCTGCAGGCTGCAAAGAGGGACACGGAAATGACAGACAATGTGTTGAGGGGCTGAGGGAGGGCTGCCTGCAGTCTTGGGATCGATGGTGAGAGCGTGCTTGAGGTCACCGGGGCTGCAGCTGGGGTCCTGCTGTCCCCATACACTGCCCTCCCTTCTCTACAGCCCTGGGCATCACCAGGACATGCCCCCCCCCATAGGAGACCCCAATAACTCTATGGCATCACCTGCCCCAGCACAGGGAGCACCCTGCCCTTGTGCCACCACTGGGCTGGGATCTGGGGTCATTCCCCCTTTTTGCCAGCAAACCCTTGAGCTGCAACAGAGCTGCCCTGGATGAACCCCCAGAACAGCTCTTGGATGTCAGGGATGGGGCCATCCAAATATGGGGTGCAGTGGTGGGACCCCACTCCATCCCTTCCTCCTGGGCACGGGATGGGGATGGGGAACAAAGCTGGGCTCACGGCACAAACGAGGACAATGGCCCTGGCTATGGGTCAGGCACTGCGGGGCCAGGCGTGTTGGCTTCACCCTGTGGGGTGAGCATAAGGGACGGGGAGGTGGGAGGGAGCTGGGGCACCCACCCCCATCTGCTATGGGTTCACACCACACAGAGACATGAGGCCCCAGGACAGATGCATCCCCCATCCTTCTGCAAATATGGGGGGGTCCCACCTCAAATCCCACCTCATGGCTGAGGATGTGCGCTGTGCACAGGGAGGGACTGCACAACGTGGGACCTCAGCTCCCTCAGCAGCCCCCATTGAGCCGCACCCCCAGCCCTGGGCACGGGGACCCCCGGAATCCCCCAGCCCTCATCCTCAGCACGGTGCTCTCTGCTGGGTTTGGGATTCCCCTCCGCCTGTCCTGTTCCTTAGAGAAAGAGACACAGCTCTGCCATTCCCCTCCGGACACAGAACTGGGGGATGGTGGGAACTGCACATTTCACAAAGCTCTGGGCCACCCGGCGATGTCCACCTTGTATATTACAGTCATTATTTGTTTGATTTTCTTCATGGTTTTGCCTGGCGGTGAGTTGTGCTTTAGGTTCAGGTGGAGAGGGCAGAAGGGAGACCTGAATCCCTGCGAAAAAAAATGATTCATGCTCATGTTTCTGCCTGTACCTCCACTGAACCGCCCGTGCCCTTCTGCTGCTCTCCGTGGGCACAGGGGCAGCACTGCGGGGTCAGCCCCAAACCCTGCTGCGTACATAAGGGAAAATCCCTTTTCTCCCCCCTCTCCCCCTTTCTCCACCCCCATTGCTCACAGCTGCTGCTGTTTCCCAGGGCTGCTTGGGACAGGGGCTGGTGACCCACATGTTGCACCTCCCGTGGTTTGGGTTTGTAGGAAGTCTCTGCACGCCGTGCCAGAACCTCAGGGCTTTCCCACCTCCCACTTTCCCCAGTATAGCTCAGGATCCCATTGCCTTCAGTGGGAATGCTCTCCACCTGGTTTATCTCAGATCCCCCTGAGGGCTTTGCAAGGCTTTGCCCCATGGCTTGGCCCATCCCACAGGGTGTGCTCCCCTTCCCACAGCCCCCCAGCACGATTCACAGCTCCCTGTGCCATTTCCCAGCTGACCCCAAAGGCAGTGAGCCCCGTTCCTGCAGCACCCAGTGCCGCATCCTGGGGCTGCAGAGGGCACGGGGGGTGGGGGAGGAGGTGGGGATTTTGGCACTCACTCCACATTGAGGTCCATAACCCCAAGGGCAGAGCGGGATCTGCACACACAACCCCAAACCCAGACCCGGAGGATGCGCACAGAGGTTGGTTATTTTCGCTTGCTGCTTTAGTTGTTGTATCCACGGTCATTACAATCACAATATATATATATATTATATATACTTCTTAAATTACACAATCAATGTACAAAAACCGGGGTGCATTGCTGAGACGGGCGGTCGGGGTTTGTTAATCTGACTTTTTGTGTGGGTTGCTGTTTTTTCTTTTTCCCATTCGTGTGCCGGGCAGGAGGGGCGCAGTGCCCACACGCTGCCCCCGGGGAGCGCTGCGTCCCTGGAGCCAAACAATTCGCAAAGCCAAAGGAAGGTGGGAAAGAAATAAACGGTGATGAGCTGTAGGGAAGTGCATGGGGCAGTGAGGGGG